TTAAATTTAGTGATTACAATTATTATCATTTTAAATAATACCAAATGGAATTATTGTTAGTAAAATCAATTAATTATTGTCACCAAATATTATAATCATTAATAAATATTATTCCTTCTAATTATACTACTTTTACTAGAATACTTTAACTAGAAATTAATAATAAAAGATGCAAAAATTGATAATATCATTACTACATTTAATTACAATAATATTTATAATAGTAATAAAAATAATAACGGTACTACTAAAGTAGTAATAACTGGTAATAATAGTACTAGTAGCAATATAAAATTAATAGTAGACGAACTAATAATAATAGTAATAATGAATTAGTACCACTAATATTAACACAGGTGGTGAATAAGTGCTACTACTACTGGTAGAAGTACCACTAATAATATTAAAGGTAACAAACAAGTACCACTAACACAGTAGCGATACTGCTAATATTAACAGAAAGCAAACGAGTGCTGCTAACAGCGGTATATTAACAGGTACCACTAGTGGTAGTAGTACCACTAATAATATTAAACCGTAATAAACAATAAACAAGTACCGCTAATAATATTAATAGGTAGCAAACAAGTACCACTAGCATCAGCAATAATGGTATTAGTACTACTAATAATATTAGTAGTAATACAAGAAGTACCACTAATAATTTTAGTATTGTAGTGGTAATAATAAGAGCAATAGTAATACTAATGGTGATACTAATTGATACTACTACAATAACAGGAGTAATACAAAAAATAATACAGATGCAAATTAAGTAAGAAAAGTAATACTAGTAGTGATAGTGATATTATCAGAATAGTAGTAGTAATGCTAGTACAAGTAGCAAAAGTAATACTAGTAGTGATAGTGATATTATCAGAATAGTAGTAGTAATGTTAGTACAAGTAGTAAAAGTAATACTAATAGTTATAGTAATAGCAATGACATACTTATAAAACTAGTAGTAGAAGCAGTGATGTGTGCATTGATAATATTAGCACAAACTCTTTGACAGAGTGAAAAAGCAAAGAGAAAGTATTTTGTGTGCTTAGAAAAAGAAAAGAATAAGATGAAAAATCATTTAAAAAAAAAAAAATAATAAAAGAGAGAAAAAATGAATTGAACTGATAATAATAGTATAGAATAATTGTTCATTTTGTCCTTTTTTTTTAACATAAATAAAGAGAGAGAGGGAGAGAGGGAAAGAGATAGAAAAAAGAGAGAGAGAAAAAGAGTGAAAAAAATAATAAAATAAATTTACAAATATATTTAATTCAAAATTAGAACTTATATAGTAACAAATATTTAAGTTTATTAATCAAAATTATAATTTTTGCTTTGCAAAATATTCTATTATAATTGAAATTGTATTATTAATCCAATACCTTTTCCCTTTTTTTTTTTTGCTTTTTTTTCATTCAATAAAATGATAAAAAATGAAAAGATGGATATTTTTAAATGACTATGCTTTTAAAATTTCAATTTTAACAGATAATTCGAATTTTTAATTGAACTGAAGATGAATTGATTGCTTATAATTTTGATTAGAAAAGGAGAAAGAAATATTTAAATGATATCAATAATAAATATTATAATTAAGGATATAAGTAATTGATTACAAATTTTATTGCAAAAAGAAAATTGAGAGGAAAATTTATGCTAAATGATACATATTGAATAATTCAATTCAAATTTTCAAATTAAGTTTCAATTCAAAACTTCAAAAAATTAATTATTTCTTTGTGCTAAACTATGCAGAAGACTCAAATAATAAAAGATAATTTAAAATACCAAAAAATAAAAAAATATAATCATAAATATCAATAAAATTCAATTAAAAAAATACAATAACTGAAATAATTCATAAAGTTATCCAAATTTCCTATATTGAAATCAAATATTAAAATGAAATTTGAAATATTAGAAAAAATAATCAAATGAATAATTGAAAATATTTTAAAAAATTTATTTTGAATTTGAACATTAAAAGATAATTTAAAAATAATTATAGTAATAATTGAACTGATTTAAAAAAAAAAAAAACATTTTGAATTTTATTCATGAAAATGTTTACTGGAAAAAATTCAATGAAATATTTTTCAAAGTTAAAATGTTTGCATTAAAAAAAAAATGAAAAATCGTTTGTAAACTAAAATATTTCACAAAATGTTTTATGTTTACATTCTTTGCTTGCAAAAAAAAAAAAGAAAAAAAATTTAGATGAAATTTTGATATAAAATTTTTTTTTAAAAGAAAGAATTTAAACAGGCAAATTTGTAATATAGAATAAATTTTCAATATTTCTTTCCTTAATTCATTAATATATAATTAATCTATTTTAAGTTTACAAGTATACATGTATAATATTAAGTGAATTAGTAAATTTATACATTATCACAAATAATTTGTTTACTAAATTATCAATTAATTTTCAATTTCATTCCTTATTTACATCATTTTTCAAAAATTTTCTTTTCTAAAAGATAGAATTGATGAAAAAAATTAGAAATTTAAATCCTTAAAACAAGTACATATATTATTAAGTAAATCAGTAAATTTATAACCAAAATTCATAGATGGAAAATGTTAAACATTTAATTTTATTTGTTAAAATAATTATAAAAATATGTGAAGATAAGAATTATACTTGTATTTTGCAGTTAGAAATAATAAGATTGATCACAGACAAAAAAAAAAAATAAATAAACAAATCCTATTTTCAAATAAAAAAATAAAAATAAAATAAACAAATTTCTGGAATAAAAATTTGAGAAATATTTCACAAATATAACTAACATTTAAAATATAAATTTTAGCTTTAAAAATTTAAAAAATAATTTATCGCATGGAATTTTGAAAATAAAACTTCAATTAAATATTTAAAAGCTAATCATTAATAATTTAATTTAATGTATGTTAATGATAAATTTGTAAAATGAAATAGAATTACAGATAAGGTTGAAATTTTAATGCAAATTTAACAATTAAACCAAAGTAATACATAACATTTACTACATAGTGATTTGAAATTAAAGAAAAAAGTAATAAAAAGTAATAAGAGTTAAAATAAATATAAAAATAAAAAATAATAAAATTAGAAATTAGAATAAATGTAAGGATGTAATAAAATTGAAAAATTAAATAATAAATGTGGTAAAATTGCTAATTTTATTGCACAAAAATCATTTTCTCTTAAATACGCTACCATCTGTTTAAGCTAAATGTGAAAGTTACAAATTTTAAGAGATTTAAATTTAAAAAAATTCAAAAGAAATTTAGGAAACAAAAAAAAAGAATTTAATTTTGATGAAATTGAACAATTTATTAGTTAGAAGTTTTTTCATTCTTAATGCTACTTGTTTAATTTAAAAAAAAATTAGAAAAATTTTGTTAAAATTTAAGAAATAATAAGTAAAAGTATGATTTAATTAATGAATAAATACTCAATTTATGTTTATTCATTCTATTTCTGATTTTTTGTAAAAATTTTATACTTATTTTCCTCTTTTTTTTACCAAAATTAAATTATTTATTAGACAAAATAAGTTGTTCGATAGAATTCACAATTGATAACAAATTCAAATACAATATCAAATGGAATATAATTACAATTAGATATTAAGTAAATAATTATACAAGACTAATTTACTTAATAATTAATATTTAATTTATATTCAAAATCCATTTAGAAACAATTTGTTTTATTTCAATTAAACAATCATTCATCCAATCGTTCTTTTCATTTATTTTTCATTTTAATCACAATGTAACATATACTTATTAAATTAATTAATTGAAAAAAAAAATAATCAAAACTAAAATAAAAAAATTTTCAAAGTATAAAATCCATTTATTTTTTTTTTTAACCTTTTTCTTCCTTCTCTTAATAACAAATTCAAGCGTATGACGTACGCTTGTACGTAAAATTTCAAAAATCATTTTAAAAAGTTACGTCAAATTGTAATTTCGGCAATGGGAAGAGAAAAGAATGAACAGAAAAGAAGAAAACAAAAATTTTTGCATATGAAAGTTAATCTAACTAATCTTTTTAACAAATTTATCATTAAATTATCAAATTGAATGGATTTCAAAAATTTGTATTATTCTTTCTGAAATAATTTGGAAAAAAGATTAAACTCAAAAATTTACAAATTTTTTTTTATTTTAAAAAAGTATGATAAAATTGTTGTTTATAATTTATTTTTTGTTATAGAGAAAAGTCTAACTTATATCCTTGAAGATTAAATAAATTTTTTTTTAGAAAAAAAGAAAAAAATATTCTCTTCAAAATATTTCATAAAATTTGTTTATGCTTGAAAAGTTATTTAAATCAGTAAAAAAAAGGGCATTCGTTATTTGTACTTTTTATATTATACAACAATATCTTATAAAAAAAAAAGAAATTATTTAGTATCAAATTACTCAATTCATTTTAATTTAATTAAATTAAAATGTACAGAAATTTTAATATGAATTTATTTTTACTATATCAGTTTTTGACGTGAATTTGATTGTATTTTTACATACTAATTTTTGTATGAATTTCAATTAAAATTATTATATGAGCTTTAAGTTTTAAAATTATCATACTAGTACTAAGTTTTTGGTCAAAACTGTCAATTACTTATCAATTAACTAATTTAATTAAATTATACAGAAACTTTAATATGAATTCAATCCTAACATATGAGCTTTTAATATAAATTTGCCTATAAATTTTTATATAAACTTCAGTTTTACCAAATTAATTTCAATTAAAATTATCATATGAGTTAAAATTAATTCTACAATTATCATATCAGTGTTAACTTTTTAATCAAAATTATCAATTGAATAATCATTTTACAAATAAATTATTACTCTAAATTTGGGAAAATTTTTTTCGACTTTTTCCTTTTTTGATAATTTTACACTTTGAAATGAAAAATTTTAAACATACAATAAGAATTGAAAATAAAAACGAAGAATTAGTAAATAGGCCAGAAAACAAAAGAAAAAACCTTGCTAATATTTGCTGAATCAGAGCCTAGGCCAGAATCTGTACTATCGGTTGGCCGATGAATTTCAACATATGCTGTACCATTGACACAATCTGCTGCACTGAGCTCACTTCGATCTGAAAAAAATATTATTTTTTTTTTCAGAAAAAAAATGTTTATATATAGCAAAGACTAAATTTAAAAAAAAAAAAAGGGAAAAAAAATGTTTACTTCAAATAAACGATGAAATGAAAATAATTTCCACACAAAATAAAAACCAATTTAAAAAAAAAAATGAAAAAAAAGCGAATGAAAATTTTAATTTTATTTAAAAAGTTTTTTTTTTTTTTTTGCAAAGAAGAGAAAAAGATGAAAGAAATTAATTTCAAAGTTTTATTTATTCATTTTTTTATTCTTATAATTTCTTTTTTCTTTTTTTTGCAATGACTTCCATGTAATATAGTTTTTTAATTCAGGAAACCATCAGTTTTTGCTTATTTGAAAAATTTTTCCAGCAAAGTGATAAGAATAAATTTGAAAAAAAATTTTTTTTTTTTGAAATTTAAAGAGAAAATTGAAATTTTGTTGAAGAAAAATTTAGGTATACTACATTAATTAAATTATGTTAGAATTATTTTTCGCCAATTATTTTTTTGCAATTTATAAATTTAATTTAAAATAGAATTTAAATTTAAATATTTCCACTTTCACCTTGCTTACTTCATTTCAATTTCTGTTAAATCTGTCACTCCAATTGTACTAAGCAACAGGAAGAAGTGAAAAAAACTAATTCTTAAACAAATATTTTCAAATATTTGCTTGCGTTTCTTTTTTCTATTTTTAAATTTTATTTAAAAATCAATGTTTGTTTGTTAAAAAATTTTTTCACTTTAATTTACACTTTCGATAGTAATAATTTCTGTTTATTTAGTAAATGTAAAAACAATTATCAACATTGATCGCTATTTGATAAGCTTTTTAATTGTGAAATGAAAAATTTTAATTTATGTCAGATGCAGGAAAAATAATAAATAATTATTGAAAATAATTGTCAAATGTGAAAAAAGGGGAAAAAAAGAAAACTAAAAATTATGTTTTCAATTTCCATTTCTTATTAAATGTGCAAATTGTTCTCTAAATAGATTATAAGCTATCTATTTAAATTAATTACCAGTTATGAAATGAAAACAAATTAATTTTTGCCGAATTAATCAAATTAAATTATCTAATCGATTTATTGATTAAAATAATTAAACCTTTTCTTACATTTATCAATCAGCATTTCATTATAATATATCATTCGTTTTTTCAACTGTTATCGAATATTAAAAAATGAAATTGGGAAAATCAGAATAATATACAAAAATTAAATTAAATTTAAATTCATAAAATTATTCACACCATTAATTAGCAACTATTATACTTATTTGTCGGGAAAAAAATGTGATAAATAGAAAGAGAAAAAAATGTGAAAAAAAAAAGTGCGAAGAAATAAATAAGAAATGAGGAGGAAGAAGAAAAAAAAAACAAATCGGAAGTTTACAAATTTAAACTTGTCAACTTTTTGAAATAATTGACAGGAATAAATGAGAAGCGAAAATGTATATTACATATTTATTCAATCAATTGTTGCTATCATTGTTTAAATTTAAAAATGAAAAAAGAAATTTTTTTGAAAAAGAAAAATTTGGTTCTTTTTTCTTTTTTTGCTATTTCAAAGTTAAATATTTTAGTAGATAATTCCAATACAATAAGCATATTGTATAGTACTATTTTTTAAATAAAAATTTCAATTTTATACTTTTGATAAATTTTAATAAAACATATATTAGAAATTGATAAGAAATTGAATTTGAAAAATAATAGTTCCAAAAAAAAAAAAAATCAAAAAGAAATGTTTATGAAATAATTTGATCATATCATTTTTTATTAATATTTGCTGAAATATATGAACGAAAGAAACAAATAATAAAATTTTTATCAATTCCATCTTTTTTTTGAGAAATTTTCAATAAATGATATGATAATTTTGTTATGATATGATGCTAATTTGAAAGGTTAATTTAAATTTATTAAATTTAAAAGTTTAATTTAAATTTATTAAATTTAAAAGGTTAATTTAAAAAGAAGCATGCTTATTTCATTTATTTTTTGCATTACTGAAAGCATATTTCAAATTAATAATTAATTTCAACCAATATTTCAAAATGCATCAAAAATTTTGATTTATTTCATACTTAATCATAACTTTATTAACCATACAAATGCAATTAATTCAAAATTAAAATTTATTATATGCAATTAGCACATTTTTTACAAATGCTAAAATTACTTAACCATTTTTTTGAAAAAGAAAATTAGTTAATTTAAAGTTAATCAAAACACTTTTTTTTTTAATCAAATTATTTTTAAATTTTGGAAGTTCAAAAAAAAGAAGAAAGAACCAAAAAATTATTTGCAAAAATAACAAATCATAGAATTTTCCCCTTAGTTTTAATAGCATTTAAATCTTTTAAAATGAAAAAAAAAGAGATTTAACAAAATCTTTTAAATCCTTAATATCTTTTAAAATTTACTTCGTGCGTAAAACTTTGGAAAAAAATAAAACAAAGAAAAAAAATTCAAAATTTGGAATAAATATGAAATAAAATAACAAAAATTAATTTCATATCATAAATTACTAAAATTTTATGAAAATAAAGTATGAAACAAAAAAGAGAAAAGAATATTCAAATATTAAATTAGAAAAGAAGGAAAAATAGTATGTAAAAATAAATTATAATAAAGAAAGAAAAAGGATAAAACTTTTATATATTTTAAATAATTATTTAAAATAAAGTATTAATTAAAAATTACTTTTTAAAATATATTATTAACAATATAAGAAGAAAAAGAATAAAATAAAGTAAAAAAATATTGAAAAAAAGATAATAAAAATTTTTTTCCTTTTTAATTATTATTAAATTTCAATTTAAAGTTCATTTTAAACATTATTATTACTTATAATATTGTTAAAATGAAGAAAAAAAGAAGATAAAGAGAGAGAGAGAGAGAGAGACAGAAAGAGGGAGAGGGAGAGGAAGATGAATAATTTGAGAGGATAAAATGAAAATGCCAAAAATAAATTTTGTTAGATGAAATGAAATGAAAAAAAAAGAGATCGGTAGATTTTAATAGAATGATAGAAAAGACAAATATATATAGAGAGAGAGAGAAAGGGAAGAGGAAGATTGATTAGGAAAAAGAGAGAGAAAAAAAGAGAGAGAAAATATTCTTTTTTTAAAAAAAAGTTCAAAAAAAGATGAAAGAAAAGCTAAAGCATATAGACTAGAAGTAAAAGCTAATACGGATGAAAATTTTTAAATGCTTAAAGATTTATCATTTATCTCTAACCACAAAAAAAAAAGGAAATACAACTATGTTTTGTTTTTTTTTTTAATATTTTTCTTTCTCTTTCTTTCTCTTTCTTTCTCTCTCTCTCTCTCTCTCTCTCTTAGTTATTGCGTTTCTTTCTTTGAGAAATAAACGGTTTTCTTTGTTTTGTTGTTTAAATTTAAACTTTAAATAGAAAATTTAATAATTAAAAAAAGAAAAGAAGAAATTTTTGTAAATTAATTTATACTATTTCAATTCTTTCTTTTTTCTCGAACAGAACTTTTTTTTTTTTGAAAATTATAAGTTTTTATTAAAAAGTTGAATTTTTTAAACAATTAAAAGAGATCAGAAATTACAAATTAAATTAAAGTTTTTTTAATTTATTGGTATTAATAAATTAAAGAATTTGCATTTCATATTTGATTACACAGTAAAAGATACTAACTTTAATTTTATTTTAATTAGTTGAATTAATGTTTATTTTAATAAAACTTTAAACTTTTTGGAAAAAAGCCAAAAGTTGATTAAAATCTAAAATAAAACTTAAAATAAAATATTATGAGGATATTTTTGTACAAAAGAAAGGAGCAAATTATCAAATAAACAAAATCAAAATAAAATAAATAAATAAAAGTGGTAAAAATAAGGTGAGCAAATTGTTTCTTTTTTTCTTGGAAAACAAAAATATATATTAAAATTATCAAAAATTATTAAAAAAATCAATAAAAAAAAAGGAAAATAAAAATAGAAAAATAAAATAGAAAACAAAAAATTATTAAAAATTACTAGAAATTTTAATAAATTTCATTTTAATCTTTTTTCTTGAAAAAAAAAATAAATAAATAAATAAAAAGCATATAATAAATGATATTCGGTAATTGTATAAGGAATTTAATTAATTGTAATAAAATGAATAGAAAAATTTAAAGTAATGAAGAAATATTTTTTAACATTTGTAAATTTTACAACAACCACCTACCTTCTTCTCCTTCTTCCTCTTCTACTTGTGCTGCTTCTTCTTCTTCTTCTTTATCGAAATTTTCATAGCTATCTGCTCGAGAATTGTCCGCAATTGATTTACTAATAGCGCCATCGCCATCATTAGCAGCACTTACCGCATTTGTATCATTATTATCGTCATTATTACTACTATCATTTTTAATATTTTTTGTTACATCGATTAGAAATATAAATTCAATTACTGCTTGTGAATTCACTTCAGAATCTGAAACAAATAAATAAAATTAATAAATTTAATTAGCATAATTATTACAATGATATACAAACAAAAAAAAAGAAGTAGGAAGATTAGAATTATATGAATTAAATTTTTTTTTTTTGAATGAATTAAATTTTTATTTTATTGTTATAATTTATTATTATTGAATTTTGTAAGGAAAAAAAAGAGAAAAATAATTGGAATTTTTGGATATTAATTGGAATACTGCAAATATTATACGAAAAGGAATTTCAATTCGGAAAAAAATGATAGTAAATATTTGCTTTCTGCGCTATTTATCATTGCTTCAATTTAGTTTCATGCAAAAATTGATTAATACTTTACTGATTTCATGAATTAATTTAAATTGATGAGTTAAAAATTTTTTATTATAATTTGAAATTGTATTGTTATTAGATAATGACGTAGAAATGGATGATAATTTGAAAATTTATTACTTATATTTGAATTTGAAAAATGCTAATGACTAAAAGATAATTTTAAAATGTTAGAAAAATGCTTAAATGCTTTTTTTTTTTTAAAAAAAAAAGAAAAATAAATACTTTAATAATTATCTTTAAGCATAAAAGACATTTGCTAGATTTAAAAGAAATGATAGATGCATATATTATGTGAAATTAATTTTTAATTTTAATCAATTTTTATAACATTATTTGAAGCATAAAAGATTTGTTAATTTGAAACTTTAACTTTCATAAATCTTTAATTTATTGCAGAAATGTTAAAAATATCCAATAAAATTTATAAAAAATATCAGTGATATATGTATTAAACACATTCTAACGGAATGTATAATATACTTCTCTTCAATCATTTTTTTTTTCTTTTTTCTTTAATTTATAATTTTAAGTTGATAAATGTTTGAAATATATAATTTCATGAATTTATCCAAAATTTAAGTCATTATTATTTATTATTATTCTACAAATTTCCAAAAGGAAAGCTATAATTTTGTTTTTTGTTAAATGAAGAATTTCTAAGAATTACATAAAGTTTATTTTTAGCAAAAATAAATAAATAAATAAACAAACAAATACTAAAAATTTTTTGCGCTAAATAAGTTTAAATTAATTAGTTAACTAATTAATTAATTAAACTTGTTTATTGTTAATCAAACTTATGTATTAATTAATTAAACTCATACATATATTATTAATCATGTTTTTTATTAATTTTTTACTAATTAAACTTATGTTAATTAATTAATTAAACTTATTTATTTACCATTAAAGATGTTATCCAATTCTTCGCGATAAAATCGTAATCTATAGATATTTTCATTATTTGTTGACAAATCAAATGTGCAAGTGTTAAATTGACAACGAAAAAATAGTGCACGTTCAGTGGTACTCGTACGTTGGAAACATTTTACCAAAATATCGCCACGTAATGGTAAGTCATCCAATTCAAATGTATTATTTTCAGCTACAACCCTATAAAATTTTATCAATTATTTGTGATAATTTTAATTAATATAATTTTAAATAAAGATAATAGATCAAAAAAAATTTTTTTCACTATAAGTCATACTTTAAACTTATATTTTTTAGTTATAATAAGCATAATTTCAAAGAAAAAAAAAAAAGTTTTTTAAATAAAAATTAAAATACAACGTTGAGAAAAAGAAAAAGCAATAAAATTAGTAATAAAATGATTAGTTAATATAATTTATTTGTTTTTGCATTTCATACTATTATATTTTAATCGTAAAATATATTTCAATTAAAATTTTAAAAGAATAGAAATAAAAAAAGGTATAACCATACTTAAGTGATGTTGTATGCACTGGTTGCATACGTTCATATATTTTGAATAAAACATTTCGATTAAAAAAATTTGTTAATATAATATTATGTAAGTAAACTGTTGCTGGTTGAATTTTTGTTCGTCCACAAAGAAGTGATGAAAAATATTTCACATATCTAAAAAAAAAAAAAATTGAATTAAAATTGAAAATATTAAAAGAATGAAAATGTCTAAAAATCTGAATTAAAATTGGAAAAATTTTAAATATTTTGAAAATACTAAACAATATAGAATTAAAAATAGAAATCAATGTATTTTACATATCTAAAAATAAACATGTTTAAAAGGAGAATTAAAAACAGAAATTAATACATTTCAAATATCTGAATAGAGAATTAAAAATAGAAATTAATGTATTTCACACATCTAAAAATAAACATGTTTAAAAGGAGAATTAAAAACAGAAATTAATACATTTCAAATTCTGAATATAGAATTAAAAATAGAAATTAATATATTTGAAATATCTGAATATAGAATTAAAAATAGAAATGAATGCATTTCTCAAATTTAAAGTTAAATTTGAATTTCATGCATTTAACTGTACATGAAAAATACATGAAAGTTTTTAGTAAAACTCACATGCAATATTATTCACTTATAATTTAGGTTACATTTTATTTTTAATTATATATATAATCTGCATAGTATTTCACGTTATATTCTCACTTACGCCATATACGTCATATTAAATTTTTTGCATGCAATAATTTCCTACAAAACCTTAATTATGAGTAATTATTAATTGATATTTTATAATTATTCGTAAAGAATACTTAATTTAAATATAATTGCTAATGAATTTTTTCTTCTTTATTATTTCATAAAGCAATTTTATAGTTTCAACAAAAAAATTAGAATTATCAATAATTACAATTATAGAGAAAGTATATAAAAGTTTTGTTAGTTCAAAAAAAAAGAAAATAAAGAGAGAAACTTTATGGTTTTTTACTTAAAAAAATTTATTGTTAACAATAAATTACCAATAAATTACAATTTAAAACGTTGACAGTTGTTGACAATTTCATTGCATGCAATATTTTTATTCTAAAGTATAATAAAAGTACTTTCTTTTTTCCAAAAAAAGTAAAACGACATGAAATTATTTTTTTGCTTTTAAAGTTTATGCAAAAAAATTTTTTTTAGTAATAATTTATAATTATTTTATTGATTGAACTATGATTGACCAAATTGTTGCAGATATTTAATTAGTTATTAAGTAGTTAATAAGTTGTTTCGTCATTAATTAGCACTAAAAAATAACCAAAAATGTATAAATTCAAAATAAAATATAAAACTTAATATGTACTGGAGAAAAGGATTAATTGGTTAATAAGTAAATAAGCTAATATATAATTAGTTAATGTAATTAATAAGTTAATTAATTAATATACGATATCGATTAATTTATTTATCTTAAACATTTTCTGCTTTCCTTTTGAAATTTCATCTCATTGTTTAACCAATACTTTTAAAGCAATTCAAAAGTTCGTTAAAAAAAAAAAAAGATTAAAATGACCTTCGAGTGGGCTAAGTGACAAATTTAAGAGCTAATGCAAATACACTTTTAAATAGCCTTGAACTACTTCACGACAAAAAAAAATGCTTCAATTAAACTTTTTTTCTTCCAAAGAAAATTATTTTTTTCTCCGAGTTTAAATCATTTTTTAATTTAATAAAAAAAAAAAGAAGAAAGATAGATGTGAAATCTTTAATGTTATCGAAACTTTTATTTCCAGACAAAAAAATCATTATTTGAATCAAATTTATCATTCATAAAAATTTAATTTTTATTACTTATTTTCGTTTTTTTTTTTTTTTTTTGTAAAATTTTTTCATCAGAAATTTGTTATTTTCAAATAAAATTTTTTTACTTCAAAAAAAAATTCACTTAATATTGGTTTAATTCATAAAAATTATTGTAATAAAAAAGTGATAAATTTTAAGATTAAAATTAAAAACATATATCTGTTTGGTATAAAAATAAGCAAAATAATAAAAGAATAAACTAAAAATTAATATATAAAATGAAAAAAAAAAATATTTTTTTCTTTTTTCAATTTTTAAATTTTATTTTATACTAATTATCAAATCATTAAAAGAAATGAAAATGAAAATTTGATAAAAACCGTTTATGCGATGGCTGTCCATTTGGTCCAAGATAATATTCACTAAATTGTTGTAATGCAAAACGATTTTCAATTAATTCATCACTAAAATTAAAAAAAAGAATTGAAAATTTTTTTCAAATTAAAAAAATTTATTTTATTTTATTTCAATTTTTCCTTTATGTTTGTTATTTCATTAAGTATAATTTTTTAAATACAATGATAATATAATATAATATGTAATATAATAATAATATAATGTAATAAAATTGCATTTAATAAAAATTTTAAAATCAAATTTTTTGATTATTTTAGAAATTTATTTCATTTTTAATGAATATTTGTTGAAATAGCAAAACAATTTAAAAGAAGCGAAATAAATTTTTGTTTTCAAAATAACAAAATTATAATAATTATTATTGTTATTTACAATTACCAATTATTTCACCTCAATATAATATATATATTTATAAAAAAAAATTTTGTAAAATTATTTTAAATAATATTTATAAATGAACTTGCAAATTAGTAATAGTAGAAATTTTATAATTTATAGAAAGTTTCTTTGTTTCATTCGTTGTGAATTTTTATTCATCAAATAACAGTCATTCATTTACATTAATTTGCAATTTTAGTTCTGATTTTAAGTTATTTTCGTTTTAATTCTCTTTCATTTTTTTTTTGATAATATTATAATAATATCAGAAAAAAATTTTTTTTCCTCTTTAATTCATTTAAAAAAAAAATTCTTCTTTTCATTTTAATTCATTTTAAATATTATAATAATAGCAATAAAATTTCGAAAATAAATGCAAATAATATTAAAATACTGATTAAATCTTATTAAAATGAATTTTCTCATTTCCATTCATTTAATTTAAATTAAAAATTTTTACTAACTTAGAGCATATGGTGATATAATGCATATATGCAGCAATAACAATAGCCGCACGTGAACAACCACCCTTACAATGAATGACAACGACATTTTGCGCATTTTCAGATAACCAATTCTCGAGTAATTTGCATATTGAACAAAGTCGATCAAGTGGTGGTGCTAATTCTTCAGGCCAGCCAAGTTCAACAACTGAATGCAAACGGCCAAGATCATTGCGCTTTTTTGATAAATTAAAAATCTGAAATTATTCTCAAATATACAATTTTTATATTGCAAAAGAAAAAAAAAAATGGAATAAAATGAATAAAAAATGTAATACGAAAATAAAATTAATACATTTTTTGCTACAAACAAAAAATTTTAAAACCTTTTTTTTTTTGAAGTATTTTTATCCTACAAAAAAAATAAATAAATAAACAAAATAAGTGAATAAGAATTATGCTAAATAGATTTTTCTTATATAAACGAATAAATTTTAGTATGGAGAAAGAAAAGAAATCAAGAAATTAAATAGATTCAAATTATTCAAATTACTTAATTTGTTTGAATTATTCGTGCATAATTTATTCAAATTTGAAAGAAATTAGATAATACAAATTTTTGCCTTTTATCATTTTAGTTTTTCATTAATAAAAAAGAAGAAAATTCCAAATTTGTTAAATAAATACGCAAACAATTCAAATTTGAAATGATTAAATGAAATAAATAAATGAAAAAAAAAAGAAAAAGAGATAACATAAAATGGGTTAAAATTTAAATATTTAATGATCATTTCAATGATTCATGAACTGCTAACATTGAATAAATGTTTATATTAAAAATTTAAAAATAACTGTTAAACATTTTATTCATCACAAATAACAATGAATTTTAAATTTAAAAATTTCATTGCAAATATATAATCAAAAAAAAATCGAAAAAAAGTTTTTCCATTAAATTAATTAATTTTTAAATTAATTAGTTCTTTTTCTTTTTTTTCTTTGAAGAGATATTTACATCATTTGAAGTATATAAATTATGAAAAAATTTACAGTTTTTTTTTCTTTTTGAAGTCAATTTTTTTTTTTTTGATTAACTTTTTAGCTTATTTGATGTATTTGTCAAATTTAAAATTTTTTTTTGTCTTTTTTTTCTTTTTCAATCTTTTTTCCTTTTTCAATCTAAAAGAACAAAATGAAATCGTATATCAAAACAAATATGGGAGAAAAGATGTTAATTGAGTTTTGCTTCTTTTTTTCTCATTCCATTCTTTTTTCAAAAAATTTAAATTTTTCTAATATTTCTTCTTTTCCAAATTAAAAGTGTTTTTTTTTTTTATAAATTTAATTTTTTCAGAGATTTATTTGTTTTTTAAGCAATATTCTCATTCATTATAAATGAAAAAGTTTTTTTTGTTTCCTTTCATTTGTCCCAAAAAAAAAATTTTTTTTATTTTATTCAGTGAAAAAAAGCCAAGTATACGGTCTAATTATACTAAATTCTAAGATAACATAAATTTTAAGAGAATTTAAATTATAAGATTAAAAGGTTAATATTAATATTGTTCTGCAATTAAATTTATTTAATTACATTAGTAATTAAGGTCAATAATTTATTATTTGACCCTAAACTGCAAAAGACAAATTACTTTCTGTAAATTTAATAACTTTAAATTTACTGTCAATATAAAATTTAATATCAATTAGAAAAGATGTAACAATAGTTTATGACTCGAAGGTTTTCTTTGGTAAAAAAAAAAGTAAAAAAAGAAGAAATTTGATAAATTGTTCAGTAATTTATAAGTAATTTTAAAAAATACAATTTCTTTTAAGTTATCAAATTCAGTATTCTTCTATTATTTTAAATTTTATTTCAAATTTAACAAATATGAATAAAAGTTGTTTACTTAGTAAGAGTAATGAAATTTTTTAAAATTTTTGACAATTTTTAAAAATTTAACACTTTTGAAGCACAGAGGAAAAAAAAATGTAGCAATTAGAAAATTGAAATAAATCATACAAACAAACATATGTTGTTGTTTCAATTGTTCTAGCATATGTTTTTCGTTTTTTTTTTGTAAATATTACATAATTTATTCTATGATAAAATATTTTAAAATATCAAACAGATTTTTTTTTAAAAAAAAAATTAAGTTTCCCTTAAAATTATTAGTTTAATTAATCGGAATGGTAAATGTAATATGCTTGCATACTATTATTAATAAAAAGAAAATAAAAAATGATTTAATATATTTCAAAATAAAACTACAGGCAATTTACATATGTATATACTATAATTTCTTTTCGTTTGTTTTAGCAAGTTAAAATTTTAATTTTAAAGTCATTTAAAAATTTCAATTGAAACTTTATTTAACAAATTCAAACTTAAAAATTTAAATAAAATTGTAAATTTCACAAATGATATGAATTAAGCAACAATATACTTCTTTCATCTTTTTCCACAAATAAAAATAAACTTTCAAATCATCAATTGCCATTGTATTTTTTTTTCAAATTAAATTTCAAATTAATGTATCAAATTTTATACTAATGTTGAATTTTAAATTAATGTATTAAATTTCACAGAAAATGAAATCGTTTCTAGATTCATTTCAATTTCTCAAACTTATACAATATTCCTCTCTTTGTTTCGTTTTTTTGTCCTTAATTCCTTCAAAATTTGATATTATCTTTTTATAATTCCGTTTAAGCATAAACATATTTTATTAATGTGAAATATGTTTTTAAAATATAAAATATAAAATTTATTCAATTAAATACAAAAAAAAACATAAAATTTGCAAAATTATTAGTAGTATTATTCTTAATTAATAGGCTTATTTATGTTTAATAATGAATTTAAAACAATTATAATTATATTAATTAATGGAAAAACTAAAAATAAGAATTGAAAATAGGAATTTGAAAGAAATACCTTGTAGTGTTCAGAATGATTACGTCTGAGTAACACGGTAGCATCTTTGAGATCTGTTCGATATTGAGCATCCGTACTGTCTGATGGAAATAATGCTGCTAGAAAAAATAAATTATAAATTTTTAATTATAATTTGAACTTAAATTTTATAAGCAAATAATTGATTATATAAATATATACTAAAATATATTAAAAAATTGTGTTAAGTAATCATTCAATGTATGATAATAATTTACATTTGATATGATATTTTTCTTTTGTCAAACATAAAATAATTTAACAAAATTTTTGTCTGCAAAAATTTGGATTTTTTAAAAATTAGTTGCATAAATTCCTTTCATAAAAATTTAGAAATTTAAAAGTAAAATGTTAAAAATTTTCAATTTCTTACGAGCAAATAAAATGCCAATAAAACTTCAAATTTCAAAAGAAAAAAGAAAAAAAATATTATTTAAGACAAATTTGAAAATTTTACATAGGAAAAAAAAGGAACATTGCTTAATAAATATTTGAAAATTTTAAATTAAACGACAAAAAATTCTTTTTGTTTTCGTCAATTCCTGTAAATGAATAAACAAAATAAGCAGTAAGTATTAATTTATATTTTTCATAAAATATTTAAAATAAGCAAAAATTATTCGATTTATATAATTTGATAAAAGAAAAAGCGTGGGTGGATGGGAGGGGAGAGGTATTAATTTTTTTTTTTATTTGAATTAATCAATTGATCTAAAAAAAAGGCATACGTATGGCAGATGGCGGTAATTGGTAACAGTTCCGCAAAATTTTCCCATTATTTTCTTTTTTTTTTTATTGTTTATTTTTTATACAAATGATTAAAGTAAAAGAAAAAAGAAAGAAAATTGTATTTATTATTAAATGACAAGAAGAATTTTTTTTTTTTGTTTATTTTTTTAAAATGTGAAATAAAGAAAAAATGAAATTGAATTTAAAATTGTAATTTAAAATAGTATATTAATGCTAGAATTTCACTGATTCGTATAAAATAAAATAAATGAACTCATTAAGAAATTAATGTAAAATGAAATTTAAATTTGATGCAGAATATATGAATTGAAGAAATGATAAAAAATAAAATTGAATTTTCAAATTTCAAATTTAAATACCAATAATTCGTTGAGTAACATATTGAAGTTTCATAGCTGATGTTGAAGCAATTTTAGCTTTAGCTAATGTTGTTTGATTGCTTGAGCTAGGCATTGATGTTTCCTCCACTGCTAACATTGATGGCTTCTAAAATTCAAATTCAATATCAATAATTTAATTTAATTAATTAGTTTATTTAAAAACAAAAGAAAAAGAAAAAAAGATTTCAACTTATTCTGATGAGAACTGAAAGACTAAATTATAATTCACATTTATTCTTTCTAATTTATTTTGAGTAAAGTAATGGATAAAATGTTGAATTAAATTATTTACAAATTAATTCATTCAAATAAATGAGCAATTTTAATGAACAATTTAAACAATTCACTTAACATCAATTAGATGATTAAATCTAAAATATTAAAACTCTCTTAATTTTTGAAAAATTTTGCAAATTTTATCGGTTGCTTACTTTCTTCATTGCAAAATCTTTTCATAAATTTAATTTATTTAATTCTTTAGAAATTTTAAATTTGTCTTTAATTCTTTTTAGAAATTTTATAAATTTGAAGTTGGTATTTTCTCAATTGTTTTATCACAAAAAAAAGAAGAAAAACTAATGTTTTTAATCTCTTTTTTTAAAAAAAGTTGAAATGTCACATTTTTTATAAAATCTTTTTTAAAAACAGTTGAAATGTTACTTTTGTCAAAATTATGTTTTAGTTTAAAAAATTAGAAAAAATATGACTATATATTAATTATGAGAATAAAATTACTTATTACTAAATACAATATTTTTACTAAATATTTACTGTTAAAACTTTCCAAATTTCAAAGTACTGAAAAAAAGTTTTCATAATTTCAATAAATTAAAATCTAAAAACCACATTTTATTTTTGCTTGGAAAAAATTGAGCTAATAAACAAATAATAATCTATAAATGATTGTATTTAATAAGAGGTAAATTAATCTAAGTAAGTACTTTCGTTTTTGTTTTGCTTTTTTGTTTCTTTTTTGTGAAACAAATTGCAACTTAATAAGATAGTAATAGAGAAATATGATAAATATCAGAAATGAATTAAATAATCGAAATGAAATTGATAATGAATTAGTTCCGATAATATTGGATAAATCTGAAATAATCATTAAAAGATAAGAGTGGAGGGATGAGTTGAAGTGTAAGTTGCAAATGAATAGATTACAACTTCCATCCTTTTCCCAAGTAATTTAAAATTCTTAAAGAAGCAACTGTTCAATTATTGTTTGCTTCTCAATGATAGCATATTTATCAGAATACTTCTTATCATCAATATCATCTCATATTGATAAATTTCGGCATCACAAATAACACTGATAAAATTGACAAATAATAAAATTTTTTACAAAAAAAAAAAAAAAAATTGAAAAAAATTATTTTATAATTTATAATTTAGGAAAAGATATCAATACAAATTCAACTTTTTTTATAGCTTTTTTTTTTATTTTTGTTATTTTACAAAGTTCGAAATTTCAAATTAATTCGAGAATTGTAGAAGAAAAAAGAAAACAAAAACAAAATCAAAATGATTCAATGAAAATTTTTATGATCCAAAAAAAAATTATTATCATTGTGATAATAATTAGTGAAATTAGGACGAGAAAATCCTTATTTTTGCTTTTTCTTCTTATCAATTGATAAATTAAAGTTTTTATCTTTACAGTCTTTTTTAAAAATAAATTAAAATAATAAATTTTATGTATGTATAAAGTGATAATGTGATTAAATACTTCTTTGTTTGTAAAAAAAAACTTTAAAATTCTTTTCATAAAATTAATCTTTTTAGTTTCAACTGAAATTTTTTAGATTTTTCAGTATTTTAAAATTTAAGGAAAAAAAGAGAGAAAAATGTTTCAGATGGATTATTTATAGCAAATGGAATTGAGAAATAATACAAATAAAGCGCTTTATGCACAGTGATAAGATTATCAGTACTTTACTTACTTAAATTTACTTTCATCAATAAGTAAAATTATCGTTTAATAAATAAAGATTAATAGGTTAAAAAATTGTCATTTTTTTGGCTTTTTTTTGTGAATTTAAAAAAAGTTAAAAAAAAAGATTTTTTCTTTCTTTTACTATTATCATAAACTAAAATAAATAAATTTTATTAAATTAAGAGAAAAAAGATTTATTTGAAAAAACATTTGTTAAAAATAAAATTTTAAATGAAATCATACAATAATATTCTGAAAATATAAATAACAAAAATTTTTATTTAACTTTGTGTTTAATGTCATTCAAGCTGATATATGCAAATATGTATATAATAATTGGTTTGTTCAACTTTTAGCTAAACAATAAATTCCCACGGGTAAAAATGATGAAAAGTTAAATTTACCATTCAGTTATAAAATTATTCCTTCCCTCTTTCCCATCTATACTTTAAAAACTATAAAGGACAAATTGAGAAATTTTTATTTTAAAATTCCAATTTAACTATGTCATAAATTTTAGTATATGAAATTTGTCACATTATCGCATCACTGATAATTTAAATAGTAAACCAAATGATGAAGAAGATTTAAACAGATAAAAATAAATTTAAAAGAATTGAAAATTGGGAGCAACTAAATTTGGGAAAAATTTAAAAAAATTTCCAAAATAATTCTTTCTTTTTTTTCTTAAGATTATTTCTTCCTTTTTCTCTCTCTCTCTTTCTCTTTCTCTTTCTCTCGTGAATAAAAATTTTTTTTGAATAATTTGTAGTATTTTAACTAATTTTAATTCATTCAAATTTATTTAAATAAATATTTTTTTAGGCATAAAATGAGAAAAGTGAATGAAAATTATCAATTGTAATCAAATAATAATAATAATAATAATAAAATTAATTTTTCTTTATTTTTTTTTTAATAATTTAACTTCATGATTGAATAAAAAGTTGATTTAGATGAAGTATTTATCAACTCTTAGCATTTCTCTTTTCTCCTTCTCTCTCTCCCTCTCTCTCCCTCTCCCTCCCTCTCTCTCTCTGAAAAGTTTATAAGAGTTGAAAAAAAAAAAAGGATAGTATTACAAATGTAACAATGTACGATGAGCTGAACAAACATTATCACTTTTCTTTCTCTTCAGTTATCCGATAACTCATTTTTTTTTCCTTCTTATTCAACTTTTTACTTCAAAAAAAAAAAAAAAGAATTTACAATTTTACAACATTTTTTACCAATTTTAAACAGACTTTACCAATCAATCAATAAAGCCATATTTTAGTATTACTATTGTTTACTTCAAATTATTGAAGCTATTAATTTTAAAAAATATATAAATTTCAAGATTAAATCAGTCAAATTAATAAAATCGTATTTTAACATTACTATTGTTTATTTGTGTTTATTAAAAGCTATTTAATCACTATTATTTGTTTCAAATTATTGAAATTAATAAGAAAAAATAAAAAAGAATTTATGAATTAGTAATAATAAATGAAATATTTTATGGTATATTTCAGAAAAATGCAAATATTGTAATTATAAAATAAATAAAAAGTAACTATTTTCATTATTAGAATAAGTTTAGTTTATTTCTTATAAAATTAAAACTTAATTAAGATTTTATTACAAAAATATCAAACTAATTAGGCCCAACTTATTCGCTTATTAAAGACAATAATTAAATTTTGATTGAAACTTGTGCGAAAAAAAAAAGACTACTCATGAATGAATGCTGAAAGAAATAAACTTGACAACTTTGAAATCTTTAAGTCAAAAATTGAAAAGTTTCACAAGTTGTTGACAATTTTAAAAAAAGAAAAAAAAATTTTTTCACACTTAAATAACTTTAAAATTCGAATCAAACATCAACCTTTTCCTTCGTTTTATGCATCATTCGGAAACAAAACATCGTTTCTTTATCCTTTCTTACAACTGATTTCTTAAAGAATTTATAAAAAAAAATTAACAAAAATTTTACAAAAAAAAAAAAATAAAAATTAATTCAATTTAATTTCATAAATCGCAAAAAAAAGAATTGTAAAAGTCATTTTTTTAAAATTTACATAAATATTTAGGATTTATACGGATAAGTATCATCATGCACGCAAGTCTATAATTATATTAAAAAGCAATAACAATTATTTCTTAGCTATTATAGAAAAGTTTTTAATTTAAATTTTATAAAATTGGTATTGAAAAAAAACTTAAATATATAATAAGATTAAAGCATTCACTAATATAAGCATATAATATGAACATACAATTTAGAGAAATATAAATGACAGGTGTTCTACAGGTTCACACAAACAATAATTTCATCCAAAAATATCAGATATGCTTGAGAAAACAATTGTCATTCAATAATTTGCTGAAAATAATTTTGTGCTTATTATTGTTGTTGTTATTATTATTATTGTCGTTGTTGTTGTTGTTTTCGTTATTATTATTATTATTATTGTTGTTGTTGTTGTTTTCATCTTATTCCTGTAATTGTCGTCGTTATTAACATTATTACTTTTATATATAATTCTACTCACTAATAATTTCTTATTATAATTTCTGAAATTTTTTCCTATAACAACAGCAACGACAACAATAACAACAACAACAACAACAATCGCCACTATCCGATCATCACTATCATCATTATCACCACCAATAACAAAATAACAAAATTTATAATTCAATAAGTAATCCAATAATTCTCTTCTAAAAAAAAAAGACAAAAAAATAGAATTTTTTTCTTTCAAAAAAGAAAATAAATAAATTAATAAAAATTGTAAATGTTAAAATATCATTGAATATTTTCATTTTCCTTTTTCTAATATCATAAAAAAAAAGAAAAAAAAGAAATTCTAGCAAAATGAAGAAACAAAAAAAGGCTAAACTAAAAAATTATTGCATAAAAATAAAATTTTAAAAGAAAAAAATTATAAAAAAAGAAATTGCATAAAAAAAAAAAATTTCAAAAAAGAAAAGATAGGAAGAAAATAATGGATTAAAATAAATCTTTTATTAATTATAAATAAATAAAAAATTTATTTTATTCTTTTTAAATTACACACATACATACACATACACAGACATACACACACACACACACATACACAACCAACTAGTAATTGTCATCGTAATAAGTTGTTGTTGTCGCCGTTGTAGAAATAGCA